ACTGATGTTGGTGTGTTACATAATCTACATTTAATGCAAGTTGATAGTTGATTTTTTTGAGCTGATAGATTTCAAGGTTCTGTTATTTAAAGCTGTAACAAAGTTTGTGTAAAATTTGCCATAATCAAGACATAAAACAAAACTGCAGATACTAATTACTGTATATAAAATAGATAAACAGCAAGTTTCTACTGTATAGCACAGGAAACTATATTCAATATCTTGTAGTAATCTGTAATGAAAAAGTATGAAAAGGAATATAAGTATGTATATGTGTGACTGAAACATTATGCTGCACATGGAAATTGACACAACATTGTAAACTGACTATACTTCAATTAAAAAAAAAAGACTAGGAAATTGGGGGAAAAAAAGAAGAAAATTAATCATTCATATTGCCAAGATGATCACATTCTGGCTAACTCAGTTTTCCATCATTTGACTATTATTTTTAACACAGCATGCCATGATTTTGATTTAACCATGATGGAGTGATTAATTCTTTAGTCTGTTTTTCTTTGTGGTATCCACAGATGGTGACCCATTTTTTTTTTTCACATCTTTAGTCAAAATAATACCACATCCTATGGTATACGTGTAAAGACTGCCACATTTGCAAGTAGAAAACAAAATAAGCAGCAGTTAAGTTGATTGTTAACCAGTATGGTTAGATTGGGATTGTAGACATTCAAATAGAAAAAGGCTCAGTTATTCTGAGCACAGGTTGGAAGGGGGTCGCCTGGGATAGGTTTGCAGCTCATTTCTTCATAGTCTTCATACAATGACATTTCTTATTTCAGTGAGTTCACCATAGTTTGGGATCTGACGCTCAGCTCAGGAAATTTAGAAACCCCATTTTGCCTGTGTACAAAGCCCGTATTTCAGGAAATGTGATAAATAAAACCTGGGCTTTGAAAAGTGCATGGGCAGTATATAAATTTCTGTCTTAAGTGAGAGGCTGGATTATAATTAAACATTCTCAAAAGCATTCCAACTTGAGGATTTGATTGAAGTTCTAAAGAAGCTGTGTTTCATTTAACGTTCAGGGCTGATCTGTATCCTAAAATTTAGTGATTTGAGGATGACTGTGATCATTATGAGTCAGTTGAAAATGCTGATCGCATCATATAATTATACTTGACCCAGAGGTATAAACTCATTCAGTGTTTTGAACTACTTTGTTTTGCATAAACTTTAGCTTTTCCTTGCTGCCCAAAGTTTATTTTATCAGGAGCTCGAGAGAGAATTGGCAGTGATTAATACAAGAGAAAAGAATTTCACAAAAGGTTTTTTATTTGCCTTATGTTATATTCCCTATGCTATATATTAATTGTATCATCACCTTCAAGTCAAGTTCATGATAAAAATTACTTCCACAATAAAAAATGATATTTAAGATACTAAAAGCTGTTGAATTAACTGTGCAAAGATGAAAAATGAGACTTGGACTTCCATAAGCCATTTATGCTAATCAACTAGACCAGTTCTTGACTTTCTCTCTCTGTTTTTAAAACATTTGTGTCAGCACCACCGAATTATATCCCAGAGACAAATTTCTTCTGGAGTCTCTTCTGTAACCCGCCCCCAGTGTTTTCCTGTGCATTTAGCTCAAGAACAGATTCATTACTAAATCCATCGGGCATTTCCTCTGATGCGCGCTTGATCCGTGCCCTGGCTCCGTTTCCATCCCCGGAACCCACCTTCCCGAGACCTTGACCAGTTCTATCTTTATCTCCATACAGAACCCTGCAGTAACTTCTAGCTGTCTTCTTTGTCATGGTAATAAGTGTTCATGAACTTATCTCTCTATCCCTTTATTAACTCTTTTCACCTTCCACACATAAACTCCTTTCTGATGTGGCCCATGCACCTAGTCTTCCTCTCTGGCCGCCCTCCACCCTCTGTATCATTTCTACAATTTATGAAGAACTAGTTTTAGTTGCCTGTACACCTCCCTATCTGTCACACCTCTGTCTTTGTACATATTGCTCCTCCTTGCCGCATTATTTTGGAGTATTTAATTCTTGCTTGTTTTTCATAAACCACCTTAAACACATAGAATATCCCAGTCTAGATAAAAGAAGCTTCCTATGTGGTTCCTTAGCATGGATACACCCTAATAGCATGTATCACACTGACTCGTAATTACATCTATTCATCTATGGTAGCACTGAGTCTTGCAAATACTAGGGGTCAAGGACTGGGTCTTTTTTTTCTTTTCCTTTATAATGCCTATCATTATACATAGCAGGTGCGAGAAAAATATTTGCTGAATGAAGGCTGAGGTGAAGTCTTACAGTTCTGCAGTGTCAGAGTTGTTCCTGAAGACAGTGTGTAACTTTAAGGGAAAGTATAGTGGATGATTACTTGAAATTAATTCTAAATTCCATAGAGAAAATATTTCTACTCTCTATGGCTTTATACTGTCAAACTAACAACTCTTTAAGATGAGCAAACATACATAGTTGATTGTATGTTTGTTCGGTATTTTTAGGCAAACTTTAGTATTTTATATGCATTTCAAGGGCAAAAGGATTTTTTGCATAGAAAGTAAAAGTTTAACCATATGTATGTCTCACACATGATTTAATCTGCAAGAATTTGTGTTGTTTTCTGGTTACAGATAGTTAAGGATATAAACAACTAATAAATCTAACTTTTTTCAGTTTTACAAACTAAACTCTGGATCACTTCCAGCATTTGGATCACTCCAGACCTATAGTCTCTGCCCAGAGAATTTACAGCTGTTGAAAATCATGTGTGCACAGACAGTAAATAAAAAGCAGTTACAAGTTAATGCAAGAGAATGATTAAAACATTTAGTTCATTTTAATGCTATTTGTGATAAGTGACCCTGGAGAATTTGTATGGTAGAGATGCTAATTAGAAACAGGAATTGGACAACAGGGAGATTGAGGAAAGTCCTAGAATGAGGGCAAGTGCAGTGGAACACAGGACCCTGCGGCAGTCCTGGCGTGACGTCCCCTTCCCCCTCCCATTTCACCCCGTGCCCCGTCCCACGTATACACGTGGTTGATTTACCAGGCAAAATTCACTTCTGTTCGGTTTATTTTAGAAAACATTCATTGTCCAGGTTAAAATACTAGATACTACATCTTCAGTTTCGATAAAACATACCTAAATAAAATTTTGCCCATGAGAAACTATGAGTGTTTGAGTCTAATTATATGAAGTATCTAAAGTAGTCAAAATCATAGAAACAAAATGGAAAGGTGGTTGCCAAGGGCTGGGGAAAGGAGAGGAGGAACTAGGGTTTAAAAGGTAGAGAGTTTCAGGTAGGGAGGGTATAACTTAGTGGTAGAGCACATGCTTAGCATACATGAGGTTGCAGGTTCAATCCCCGTACCTCTATTAAAAAGCAACAGCGAAAAAAGAAAAGAAGGGTATAGAGTTTCAGCTTTGCAGGATTAAAAAGTTTCTAGAGATCTGTTGCACAACACTGTAAACATACTGAAATTATTGAACTGTACACTTAAAATTGGTTAAGACAGGAAATTTAATGTTAGGTATTTTTTTACCACAGTTAAAAAAAGAGTCATTGTTAGTAATGTTTTTATAGGTGAAAACTTCAGTGAAAAAGCTTTTTAAAGATTAGGAAAATACCATTCAGTGTTAGAGACTAAAATGTTTTATTTAGGATTAAATGAAACATACAGTCCATGTAAAGTGCTTGGAATAGTAAAAAGCTCAATTCAATTGTAATTGAATACAGTAACTTTTCACTTTTCAGTTCACTCTGATGCAATTTGTTGTTAATTCATTTTAAACTGCTTTTACTGACAGGATACTGGCACTGTAACTCAATGTGATGTGATGTATTTCACAAGGGCTATTTATATAGACACAGAGAGAACACCTTACGGCCAAAAGGAAACTTTGGCCTTAAGGAAACTGTGTTTTTCAGGAATATTTTATGCTTTGCAAGTTTCCTTGGAATAGCTACCCTGCTCCTCTGTTAATCACTTGTTTGTATTTTCCTCCTAACTGTTATAAAATACAAAAGAATTTGCTTTTAAATATAGCTTTCATATACTACTGAGCACTCAGAAATATTAGGTATTAAAAGGCATATTTTCTTCTAACTTAGAAATTATCAGAAGGTGGCTTGATTTGATTGCAGCATTTTGTTTTCTTGATATTTAAAACTATTTAAATACAAGAATGAATACTCGACATGCATTCAAATATTATCATGGATATGAATCTTCAAAACTTAAAGACTGGTTTTTTACTGTTGCCATCAAGAGAGAACAAAGATTAAAAATTAAGGAATCATAATTCCTTCGTAATTTGGTTATGACACATCAAAAAAACCCCACCAGATGTTTCCCATCCTTATTAACAACAACAACTACAACAACAGCTACTCTGTTTCTGAGGATGTACCAGGCTCTGTTCTATGTGCTTTTACATTCTTTTGGGGGGGGAGGTGGCAATTAGGTTTGTTTGTTTGTTTATTTATGTATTATTGTTTTTTTAATGGAGGCACTGACGATTGAACCCAGGACCTCATGCATGCTAAGCAGGTGCTCTACCACTGAGCTATACTCCGCTCCCCTCTTTTACATTCTTTTAATCCTCACAACAGCCCTATGACGTTCTTACAGTTATTTATCCCCATTTTTCAGATAAGAGAACAGAGGCACAGAGAGATTAAGTACATTTCTGTAACTACCCAACTGGAAAGCAACAGAGCTGAAATTCAAATCTAGACAGTCTGGCTCCAGAGCCCAGGCTTTTAATCATTGCACTGCATTCTTCTCTGATTTAAAGGAATGTTAAGGGAGGGGATAGCTCAGTGGTAGAGCACATGCTTAGCATGCATGAGGTCCTGGGTTCAATCCCCAGTACCTCCATTAACAAATAAACCTAATTACTGCCCCCTCCTAAAAAAAGAATTCTTAAAAATATATACTTAAAAAAATGAATGTTATCCAGATATGTCAAGTGCAAATAACATGGTATCTATAGTCCATTCTGAGTTCAGACATCTTATAAATGCAGCTTTTGGTATATCAGTGAATACAGAAGTGACAGTAACTCTAAGCTCTTGGCTGAATTTTAAACACGTGGCCATGAAGATAAGTAGTACCCTAGCACCTGTGAAAAAGCAATTATGGAAAACTAGGTAATTTTGTTTGAAAACTATGCATTTTCCTCTTTCTCCAAGCATTATAACTTCCTTAAAGAAACACAGCAGTTTGATGATACTTCGTGGTATTTGGATTACAAACAAAAATTTTGTGAATTCAGGAGAATTTTTATTCCATAGGAATCCCAAATCTTGCTGTTTCTTGTACATTTCCCATGCACTCCCACCTCGGGTTCATTGCACGTGCTGTTCTCTTGACCCTGCAGGCCTTTCTCTCCCCTCTTCCAAGTCTCTTGTCACCTTCTCACTGAAGTTCTTCCTTCTTCATTCTGTTTTAAATTGTACGCCTCATGCGGGCTGGCTTTCTGTCTCCCTTCTCTGCTTTATTTTTTTCTACACTGCTTGTCACTTTATAACATGTTATATAGTTTACTTATTCTTACTTGTTATCTTTCTCCCATAAATGCAATATAAACTGTATGCGGATTTTTATCCATTTAGTTCACTGCTGTATCCCCAAAGCCTGACTCCTAGGAAACATTCAGTAAGTGCTTGTTGAATGCTTTGACTTTATCTCTAGTTTCTAACTAGTTCACGTTAAGATTTAGCTGGTAGTTAACTAGAATGAAAGCTTTCGTGGTTTGTGTTGCAAGTGAAAGAACGAAACAGAAGAAACCAATCCACTTGTCCTCGAACAGTCCCTAACACAAAAGAAGTTTTCGGTAGCTGTTAAATACATGTTCCTCTCCAGTGGTTCAGGTTGTTGTGTTAGTCAGTTTTATAATATATCGTTCTCCCGAGTCCCATTTTTTCATTCTTAACATTCTAATGTTAAGACAAGACGAGCGAGTATATGCCACAATTAAATTGTAAACACATAATAGATTTCTTCTGAAATTACATTCTGCTTTACAACACTTCACCCAGCCAAAGCGCTGGAAGTCACCACGTTTGTTTTGCCTTTCATTCCTCAATTTAATCTTTAATTTAGATTGATAGCTATATGTCACCATGACAAGAATTCATTCTATTTTTGTAAAAACTGAAAAAGAATGGAAGTCATATTTTATTTTTCTTTAGAATCACCTTCTCCCCCTACTAGGCATTGGTTGCTGTTACATACTGATTTACAACTATGTATTATTATTCAGCAAGAGAGAAAATCATTGATTGTCTAGAATTTTAAATGTTGGAATGCCAGCCTAGAGAGGTGAAGAATTTCCCCAGACATCTTTGGAATAGAAAGGTAGCCATTTAAATTTGATAGGTCAGTTGTTTCAGCAACATAATGCCATATATAGGAAGAGGGCTTGCCATAACCAAATAGGACTTAATATGAGCTTCATTGAGGGTTCACAGTCAAACCAGTATTTTTATGATTGTCTGAGTTACACTTTTTCTCCAGGTAAGCTATGTTGATATATTGGAAACAAATAAATGTTAATGAGGGTAAAGGAAAAACAAAACAAAACCAAATATTGCTGACTGGCATACGGAGAGAGAAATTAGCCCTGTCTTCCACAGCTGTCCACTAGTGGTTGTGACTGACTAACAACCTGTCAATGATTTCTGTGAACTTAGTGGAAAAAAATAGGGTACCTTGAATTATCTGTTCATCCAGCAAGCACATTGAGCACTTATATGTGGCAGGCATTCATTTTGCTAAATTGTCTTAAGGAATTCTGTGTAGTGGTGGAGAGACAGAAATAAACAGCCATTTTCAATAAGCCCTGTAGTAGAAGTGAGTTGGGTATTGTAAAGAATACAGGAAATGTTGTGCCTAATAAGTAGTGTGGGGGGATGAGTTTTCAGAGAAGACTTACCTCACTTGCCTCATCTGGCTTTTATAGGAAGGATGGTTTAGTATGAACTGTTCTTTTTTCTTATGTGCCAAACGTATGAGATTACAATTAGGGGCGGATTTGCTCACTTTGTTCATTTTGATTCAGCATCATCCCTCAATATTTTGAAATTATATTAAATTTCCATGAAATGGCTTTAATCATGGGTAAGGCTGCCTAAATCTGCATACATATTTGGAAAGCTTTCCAAGTGTTTTTTCACAAGTGAGTGTTTTATGTTTGAAGACTTGGACACCTGGCCTCTACACCTTTTAATGTGCCAGATGTAAGATCTTTCCCAGGAATACTTTTAAATACTTCTACAATGTTAGATTTCAGAAATGCAAACCAATGCAAGAGACTTCACTTCATTTGTGAGATGGATATTAAAGAAGGTTGACAAATATTTTTTAAAAAAAAATTTTGTTGCTCCTCACCAGGTGTCAAATAGTCTTCCTTTTATAACATCAATTCATTTATTCCTTGACTAAACAATGTGCATTTGCTATATGCCAGGTATTGTTCTAGGCACTAGAGACATCGGTGCATTTTTATTACTAGTATTTTTGACTCATCTGCACAGAATGACTATAATCAGCTAACACCCAGTTATATGGTCATGGTCAGGCAAGGGTTATAAAAATTCTGTCATATTTCCATGTATTTAGCCAATGTGGTGTTGGATCTATCCTTTCACTACTGTGAGCAGCCTTTGCTGTTTGTTTAACCTATTCACCATCTTGCCAAAACATGAGCATCAAAAAGATAGACCAATGGGAAGAGCCAAAACATAAAGCTCCAACAGACACATCTAACAGGTGCTACAAGTAGAGGAAGGCCAAGGAGTTAATTAGTAGAAGAAACAAGTACTGACATACATTCATTTTTCTCTCATCTATTAGTGTATCAGTTATACTTCTTTTAAAACATTTTTACTGGTTGCCTCAGAATTTGTAATACACATTTACAACTAGTACAAGCCCACTTTCAGATAACTGTATTGCTTCATGGGTAATGTGGGTACGGTGTAACAGACTACTTCTGGTTCCTCCCACCATCCCTTATAACATTCCTGTCATTCATTTTGCTTACTCATAAGCTATCATCACCAAATGCATTGTTACCCCTGTTATTTTTTTTATTGAAGTATAGTTGATTTACAGTGTTGTGTTATTTTCTCATGTACACCATGGTGACTCAGTTATACACACATGTATTCTTTTTCACATTGTTATTTTGAACAGACTGTTATCTACTAGATCGGTTAAGAGAAAGAAAAAAAGATTTTACTTTACCTTCGCTTATTTCTTCTCTAATGCTTTTCCTTTCTGTATGTAGATCTTAGTTCCTATCATCATTTTTCTTCTCTCTGAAGAACTGTTAACATTTCTTGAAAGGCAGGTCTACTGGTGATAAATTCCCTCAATTTTTGGCTGAGTCTTTGTTTCTCTTTCTCTTTTGAAGGATAATTTTGCTGGATACAGATTTCTAGGTTGGCGGGGTTTTTTCTTTCAACACTTTATTCGTGCTTGCATTGTTTCTGAAGAGAAATCTAGTGTAATCCTTAACTTTCTTTGTCTGTAGGTAAGGTGTTTTTTCCCCCTCTAGCTTCCTTCTGAGTTTTCTCTGTCTTTGATTTTCTGTAGTTGGGTATGATATACCTGAGTATAGATTTTTCTGGTATTTGTCCTGCTTGGTGTTCTCTGAATTTCCTGGATCTGTGGTTTGATGTCTGTCATTAATTTTGTAAAATTCTTAGCCATTATTACCTCAGATATTTCCTTTGTTCCTTTCTTCTTCTGGCATTTCAGTTTTGGAAGTTCCTATGGACATTTATTCAAGCTCAGGAATTCTTTCCTCCTCCATGTCGAGTTTACTGATGAGCCCATCAAATGCAGTCTTCATTTATGTTCCTGTGATTTGGATGTCTACTGTTTCTTTTTGACCCTTTCTTAGAGGTATCATCTCTCTGCTTACATGACTCATATGTTCTTGCATGTTGTCTACTTTTTCTGGTAGACCCTTTAGCATATTAACTATAGTTATTTTAGATTCCTGATCTGATTATTTAAAAATCCCTACCCTATCTGAATCTCGTTCTGATGCTCGCTTTGTCTTTTCAGACTGCACTTTTTTGCCTTTTAGCATGCCTTGTAATTTTTTGTTGAAAGCTGGACGTGACATACGGGGTAAAAGGAACTAAGGTGGGAAAGCTTGTCGCGTGAGGGTTTTTGTTCATCTGGCTCGAGTTAGGCTGCATTTCCTGTTTGCTGTAGCTGTGGTGTTAGAGGCTGAAATTTCCTCAGTGTCTTTGTTTGTGTCTTTGTTTTCCCACGGACTCGGGCAGTGGAGTCTGAGGCTTGCAGTTCTTTTAGCTGTGATCTCTTGTACCGGAGCCCTGTCGAGGTGGTACTAAGATGCAGCGGGGAGGAAAGCATGTCGTATAGTCCTGCGTTTAGGACTCAGGCTTTTAGTGACGTAAGATGGGTATTTCTCTTCCCCTCATTTGAAGGCTAGAGGGAGCTGGAGTTGGGTATCTCCGTTCCCCTGTGTTGAAGGCTACAGAGGCCTTTTTAAGGAGAACAGAGAACTCTGGGTATATCGCAAAATGCTTGCTTTCCCCTTCCCTCTGCTTGAAGTGCGAGGGAATATTTTCTCCAGTCTCACAGTGAGAACCTTGTGAGGCTCCTGGAGGCAGAACCGTGGTGAGGGGTCCCCGTAAGTCTGAGCCCCCTGGGAATTTTCACCCTCAGGTTAGTGGTCTGTCCCGGGCTGCCAGCAGGTCATCAGTGACCGTGTGGAGCCTGGGCACAGACACTGGCTCCTGTTGGAGGGTTGCTCCTGGCCTTCTGCTCCCAGTAAGCTGGGATTCTCTATATTTCCTGATTTGTCTCTCCAGTTTTCAGGGCAGCAGGACTGTTCTAAGAAAAGTTACTCATTTTGAGTTTGTTCAGCATTTTTTCTGGTTGTGATGACTGGAGTGTTGAATTTCAAGCTGTCTGTGTGTCAGACTGGAAACCTTGACCCTAGATTCAGAAATCTGGGATGCAGATGGCAGGAGGTCCGAGAAGATAAGGAAGCTTTCTGGTGCACTAAGTTGAAATTCTCAGTCTTATTTTTGTTCTGTTTTAGTTTGGCAGTCCAACATCACCTTGCCTTATCACGTCCTATATGAATCCTTTCTTTCCCCTTGTTCTATTACGTAAAACTCCAGCATCTTCTAGCTGTTATGCCACAAGCCCAATTTGCCTTTGATCTCCCATGACCCAGAACCAGCATGCTGTGGTGGGCCTGTGGACACTGGTTTTCAGGTGTTTTTTCTGCACATAGAGAATTATGGTTGATTCTGATTAAAGTGTGGCAGCGAGGTCTGTTGGGGGATTTATACCCAGATTCCAAAAGCCGTTAAATTTCACACATCATTTAAAAAGTTGTAGTAGTTAAGTGGTAGACATTATACATCTTGGCTCTCACAGTGAGTGAATCGAAGAATATAAATATTCTGAGGTGGGGAAAGGGTATAGCTCAAGTGGTAGAGCGCATGCTTAGCATACAAAAGGTCCTGGGTTCGATCCCCAGTACCTCCTCCAAAAATAAATAAGCAAACCTAATTCCTACCCCACCCCCCGCAAAAGGAAGAATATAAATAGTCTGTTTACAAAAAAACAAGGTAAATATCTAGGCTTATTTTAATTATTGAGTTCACAAAATATATTAAAAATTGTATTCAAGAGAATGTTTATTGCTGTATTTTCTTCTAAAGGAATGCTATCATTCATCTCTTAATATTTCTTTGAGGTTTGGTTCGTTTTGTCTAAAAACAGATGGTTCTTTATCTTAAGACTTAATGCACTGGAATTCCTTCTAAAAATCACTTTCTTAACTGTTGTAGAGCTAAAGAATTGTAGCGTGTAAGCTGGACTCTTAGAATTAGTCTGTTTCCTGTGGCAGTTTGTTAATAAAAATAATCTGTTACGGATAGAAATTTTTGCAGTTCATAAATGAGTAAAAATGTACTTTCCACCCCTTTTCCTTTGTAATTTAATCATGGACATGAACACTGTCTTATGAGTATCATAAGAGAGATCAGAATGGAAATTTAAAAAATCAGGTAGTAAGCATGAAATAATACTAGGTTTTCCTTCTCTGTATTTCAGTGCTCGTGGAGCATTGGGGGAACACCGATATTTGAGAGTTGTTAGCCCAGCAGAGGGGAGGAGACAGTTGCTCGAACAGTGGCAGTGAGGCTAGAAATAAGAGTTTCAGGAAAGAGGGATTAATAGGGCCAAACACAGCAGTGGATCCAGCCAGGTAAGGATTAAAATTTTCCCATTGAAAATCCCCCCCCCCTTTTTTTCCATTATAAAAATAGGATACTTGACATGAAGGAGGTAACAGGCACTTAACCAAATAAGGTCAGTAGGACACACATGGGAGTAGAGTTAAAAGCCTTGGCAGAAAAAGACTTAACTGAAGCAGCAGAGATGGTGTCGTATGACTTTCATCTCATAACACATACCATAAAGTAGGTTCTTGTCAGCAGACAAAATCTTCTTTGCAGAATGGTAGTGATTTTTACCTGATTCGACACTGTAAAATCCATCATCTGAATATATTAGTCTAATTGAGTAAAAGGGGAAAATCAACCGCTGTCTTTTTTTTTTTCCAACCTCTGTCTTCTTTTAGATAAGAAATGCTTCATCATAAAAGACAAACTTCTTTGCAATCAGGGAATGTTGATTGCATTTTTTTGAGTCTTAAATTATTTTTATTATAGAAAATTTCAAACATACACAAAAATAGGAAAATATAATGAACCCTAGTTTACCTATCAGGGAATGTTGTTTTTGACCATAGAGGAAAATGACTTTTAGGATTTTTTGTTGAAACTATGTTTTGACTTGAGACAGTGGATTATTTTGTAATTTGTATTTTGTTAAAAGTTGGTAATAGTGGAAAATTGGAAGAGCAGTCTTTAAATAAGTTTCTTGTGAATCCAACCTAGGAAAAAACAGCATTCCTATATAATATGTTCAGTTATCGTTTATAGTTAACTGTGGTTTTGCAAAAGATTAGCTCGTAGGAATATTGAAACTTTCTTATTTTATGTCTTCTTAAAAGAGATCATTCGAAACTCATTTTAGAAACTGATATCGTAGCTTTATATCTTGTCTTTTGCCTTTATTCTGAGAAGCTAGTAGTTGTTTTCACAGGATTAGTCTACATGTAAAGATTAATTATATAAACTGATATTTAAATATCTATGAATTCTATAGATATATAAAATTGTTTGCATGCAGATACACATGTGCTAAATATACGCATGCTAAACCTGCCAATAGAGGCAGACGCTGGAAATGCCTGCTGTATATGTCCTCAGTTTTAGAGGAAAGCTTCATCCTGACTTTAGTTGTGTGACTCCAAGCCTCGGATTTACGGAGCTGGCTAGAGTTCGTAACTGACTGCATTGCTTTTCCAATTATCCCTGAAAGGAGCAAAGCACAGCTTTCCTGATACTCAGCACCATAGGAATACTTGAAAGCAGGATATGTAAGTCTCTCCAACTT